TTTCGACGATGACCACCGTGTGCCCCACAGACTGCATTGCGGGAGCAGGGACGGTGACTTACGCAGGGGTTTATAGTGCCAGTAGACTTGCGTAGCATCTACCAACACTCTCTCCTCCTCCCCCGCCTGGGCCCGGTGTCAAGACAGAGTCAAGAAGACCGGAGACGGGGGAGGCCGCAGGTGGATGGCTCGGACGGGTCTTCGCCTTGGCGCTCCAATCCGCACCCCTGGTCCACACACCAAGAACAGGATTTTGACCACAAAACAATGGGGTGGAGGCAGTGGTCCAGTTGAGCGACGAATGCCGACAACAGGGTCCGCCAGCGCACCCCGGGAATGTTGGCATTTGTTATTGCGCACAGATAACGCCTGCCAGAGTCCGATGTGGCCCCCGTGTTGGTCCAGCGCATCTAACACGTGGCCCGTTTGGAGGGCACAACACACACACACACACACACACACACACACACACCAGGATTTAAAACAACGGGGGATGAACGGCGTGTCTCTCACTTTCGTGAGAGTGCCGTGGAAGGTGCTGTTTCAGCCCGTCCCCAGCCCACCAGTCGGCCATTCCACACAACACACACACACACACAACGCGACAAACTGCGTGAACCGAGAGCGGGCGTCAATCAGCAAGCTTCCTATCCACGACGCTTGACGTGTCGGGTAAGTCTCGGACTCAAGTCACCCGTGCAGGCGGAGCCGCATGGGGACCGAGTCGAGGTGGCAGTTGAGTGCTTGAGTTGGGTGAGTGTTAATGTCTGGTGGGGTGATGGTGGTGGAGGAGGTAGTCAGTGTGTAAATGTGTGGTGTGACCGGCGGTTGTCTACCACTGTTCGTCGTGGATGCGCATGCGGCCGAATAGACCCATGCGATGAGTGAATGTGCGAGGGCAGTTTGGGCAGTGCAGGAGGGTACGGTGGGTGTAGGTTAGTGCTCCAGGCCCTGGTTCGCCAGTCGCTGTGCGATGGATTCGCGAGTTACCGACCAGGCCGATGCGTGAGGTGAATGCGCGTGAACAGTGTGGACAGGTGAAGTCGACGGCGTCAGTTTCACCTGCGGGAGAGGCGGTGATGGTGGTGGTGGTGGTGGTGATGGGCGCGCAGTGCGATGGAGCGAGGGTGGGACTGGGCGTGGTGGATGTGCTGGGTGTCGTGGGTGTGTCGGGCTTGCGGTCAATTCCGCTCTCGTGGATGCGCATTTGGTCGAATAGGCCCATGCGAAGCCTGAAGGTGCGAGGGCAGTGTGGGCAGTGGAGGCGAGCGCGGTGGGTGTAGGTTGGGGCTCCAGGCACTGGTTCGCCAGTCTCTGTGCGATGAATTCGCGAGTGACCGACCAGACCGATGTGTGAGGTGAAGGTGCGGTCGCAATGAGGGCAGGTGTAGTCCTGATCCTCATCGCTGGAGTCGGGGGAGGTGGTGGTGGTGTCAGTTGTTGCGCGCGTGACAGTCGCCTGAGCGGCCGTCGTTGGAGCAGTGGAGGAGGAGAAGGAGGAGGGTGGGGAGGAGGAGGAGGATGGAAAAGGTGGTTCGGAAGAGTTGTCAGAGTTAGTTGGCGGCGGAGAGGAGGAGGAGGAAGAGGCGGGCGGTTGGACGATGGCTGGAGCAGTTCGAGAGATGCAGTTGATCCGAAGATGTCCAAAAAGTCCGACTCGAGCCCGGAATGGCCGTTGACATCGAGAACACGTTGGAAGCGGTTGTGCGACGGGGTTGCGTACTGAGCAAAGTTGGGATTTGCGGGCTTTGCATTTCGCTTTGGCGGCAGCGATGCGGTTGGCTTCGTAGATCGCAGCGCCTGTCTTCACTGCCCTCCTCCAGGTCGGACAATCGTGTGCGATCTCCTCCCATTTGGTCGGGATGATTTGCAGACGCTTCAGGTAGGACTTCAGGTTATCCATGTAACGGCGAATTTGGCCTCCATGACTGCGAGAACCCGTCGCGACGTCTCTGTAGAAGAGTCGTTTGGGTAGTCGCTTGTCGTCCATGCGCACCAGGTGGTCGCTCCATCGCAGCTGCATTTGTCTCAGTATGGCAGAGATGCTGAGAATCCCGTTCCTTCCAGCACATCGGCGTCGGGGATTCGATCCTGCCAGTTCAGCCTCAGGATGCGACGGAGACAACTGAGGTGGAAGTAGTTCAAACGGCGTGTCTGCCTCGTGTACACCGTCCAAGTCTCCGCTCCATACAGAAGGTTCGCAGGATGACGGCCTTGTACATCTTTAGCTTCGTGCTTAGTTGAAGACCATGGCGATTACAAACTGTGCTTTGGAGGCGACCGAAGGCTTGACTGGCTCTCGAGATCCCGTTGGCGACTTCGTCGTCGATCTTGGTGTTGCGGGAGAGAGTACTGCCCAGGTACGGGAAGTTCTCCACCACTTGCAGTTGGGTTCCGTTCACGCTGATTAGCGGCGGCGCGTTGGGGGCTGTGGCTGAGTTGGGTGGCGGCCGATGCATCACCACCGTCTTCTGCGTGTTAACGACCAGACCGAATTTCTCGCAGGCGGTGGATAATAGGTCCATGCTTCGTTGCATCTCCTCTTCCGTGTTGGTGCTCAGGGCGCAGTCGTCGGCGAAGAGAAGTTCGTGGACGGTGGTTGTGGATACACGCGATTAGAAGTGCATCCGCCATTGATTCAGAAGGTGACCATCCGTCCTGTAGGAGATGCGGATACCGGGGGATTTTCATCACGGTAGGCGACCATCAGCATGACAGAGAAGATAAGGCTGAAGAGGGTGGGCGCCAGCACGCATCCCTGCTTCACTCCGTTGGTCACTGCGAATGCCTCTGAGACAGCTCCGTTGTCCGTGACTCACGCCATCGTGTCCTCGTGCAGCTGGCACACCATCTGAGTGAATCGCTCCGGACAGCCGAATTTCTGCATGATCTTCCACAGTCCTTCACGATTCACCGTGTCAAAGGCATTCGTCAGGTCCACGAGGGTAGCGTACAGGTGGGTCCGCATCTCCTGGCACTTCTCCTGAAGTTGACGGGTGGCGAAGATCATATCCGTGGTCCCATGATGATGACGGAAGCCGCATTGGCTTTCCGACAGAAGTCCCTGTTCGAGATGGTTATTGAGACGGTTGAGGAGGATTCGAGCGAAGATCTTCCCGGCGATGTTCAGTAGGGAGATGCCACGGTGATTGTCGCAGACTTGACGATTCCCTTTGCGCTTGTAGCGATGCACGATGGTTGCGTCTTTGAAACCTAGCGGGACTTCACCTTGACGCCACATCTCTTGGAAGAGCGCAGTCAGGTGATCCATGAGTTGGGGACCTCCGTGCTTGTAGACCTCAGCAGGGATTGCGTCCGATCCGGGTGCTTTCCCGCTGGAGAGTTGCTGCACGGCCCTGATGGTCTCCTGGAGAGATGGCGGGAGGTCGAGGTCCACATTGGTCTCCAATTGCGGCAAGCGGGCGATGGCGGCGTCGGAGATGACGGAGGGGCGGTTGAGGACGCCTCGGAAATGCTCGGCCCATCGCTGTAGGATTTGCGTCTTCTCAGTCAGGAGAGTACTGCCGTCAGCGCTGAGGAGAGGAGCAGTGCCCTTCGTCGGCGGACCGTAGACAGATTTGATCACGGAGAAGAAGTTCTTCCATTAGTTGCGGTCCGCGTAGCCTTGGATCTCCTCAGCTTTGCGAGCAGTTCAGGCGTCCTGCATCTCGCGCATTCGTTGCTGAAGTTGGCGGCGACTGCGGTAGAAGGCAGCTTTGGTGGCATCAGTGGGGTGATCTACGTAGGCTTTGTGTAGGCGGTTCTTCTCAGCAAGCAGATTGCTGATGGCGGCGTCGCTGTCGTCCAACCAGTCCTGGTGTACGCCGAAAATATATGGCTTGTAGTTTTGAAACCCTGATCCCGAGTGTAAAGGTAGAGCGGGTTAAAATTATTCGGGAATGGATAAACTTTTTTAAATTCTATTTCTATAGAGTTTAAAATGCAGACTGTATTTCCAGAGAGCTTAACCACGAAAACTTCGCACACAAATTCTATGGAACTGCAAATCACGTGGCCACTTCTCCCATGGTCCACAAATTTTGGAAGGGGATTCAGCGGTTGGACTACCTACATTTAGCTTAGCCACTTCGTACTATTAATAAACATGGTAGTTTGCGCCGTTTCGTGGCAAAAAAAAAATAATGAGTAGGGAAGAAGACCGATAAATCCCCGAACTATTCCCTTATCATCCTGGGAGTTCAATCAAGTGGGCTGCTGCTTGCTGAATTCGGAAATTAGATAATCCTTCTGGCAGTGTTTAAAGTTACTGTGATGTATTTTTCCGAAATTTGTGACGTCATCGTAGCCCAGTTTTCGTTTCTCTCAAAGTACATCCTACTTAGTAACCTGAAGTAGGGTGTTTAATTTAACGGTCTGATACCTTCGACCAGACAGTTTATCGAACTTTTGGTGAAAACTGTTTGCTGTTGTACCCTGCTCGTGCTCAAAGGCTCCCAAAATCGACAGGAAGACTCTTGATAATGTCTCCAACCCTTATTAGTACTTACTGGTGTGAGTTCAGGCGTTTTCGGATGCTCCGCCAAATGTGGATTAGGAAATGGGCGTGGCCGCCGGTAGAAGTTGGTGGAAATATGATGACACTTTCGACATAATGCTGTAGAAGAAAGAGTCAACTGGAGTACTCGTCTATATCAACTAAAACTCTGCATGGTAGGTTGCATCCCATATGTTGTAATTTTGCCAAACTCATCAAACCTGATCGCAGAATGTCAGAAGCCAATTTTATCTGCTGTATTTATCTACAAACAACAGGCAGCATTTAAACCGCAGGATTTCCGAATTGTGATCGACCATTTTTTGACGTAAGGCCCAATATTTCTGTAATTATATGGCTGTTCATATATCACGTATTTATGCCCTAAAGAGGGTAGTGTTACAGTTGGACCTTAGTATACCATGATGTCTAAATCGTGCTTAAACCCACTGTAGGCAGCGATGAATTGCGTTTAAAGTAGTCTATAGCGAAACAAATCTGCACGATGTATACCGCACTCTCTGTCTTCCTCCAGTTACCTTTCTACGTTGCCATGGCGGAGTCAAGACGACCGGAGGTGAGTGTGAACGCATCGGGTGCCAGTACTGAAAAACTCGTCTGAGTGTGGTACACATGACCCAGTTCCCCTTACATGTAACTGGTTTCTGCAAAGTTGTAGGAGAGAAAGCTTGAATGTCGTAATGTAAATGGAGAGGGAGGGCGATGAATTCGGTTTATTTCGAAATTAATGATTGAAAATTTTCATCAAAAACTTGGCTCCTTATACCGTGGACATAATCCAAATTAACTAATTTCTCATGAGTCGTAAAGGGTTACAAAGACCGAATAGGGTAGAATGATCTTAACCTGACAATGGTGCTCTAGTCTTAACACAAAAAGCCTGGAATGAGCTCTCGAAATGTAATGACTGGGCCCGGAGATGCCTGACGAGGTCACTCCGTGCTCCGAATATCCGTTGTCAGCGTGAGCGTGATGGCAGTGGTGAGTGCTCGTGTTGATTATTCGTATTTCTTAAGTTTTGCGGGCCGCATTTTTACCTTGACAGCAACTATCTGGCTGGCCACAGGGATGACTTTTCCCGCCTTCACAACAGTTCGCCAAACCTACCTGTATTGAACGAGGTGCCCGAGGTCTCACTCCACAATACTCACCATGAGGACCCACTTGCCCCGTCAGTTGGTAGACTTCAAGGTCACAACTGATATCGCGTCTCAGTAGATTCAGGCGCGTTTATTATACTAAATTGAGAACTACGCCGAGGATAGATCTCCCAGCCCCACCCATACACGACCTGATTCCAATTTTATGCACCAGGCTACGCCAACGAACATACTCCCCACTTCAACTGAACGTCCATGCCCTGGCATGCTACGTCTGGCGATGGCAAGGTGGATCGTACGCTTGCAGTAGGAACGAGACATGGAGTCTGACGTCAAGGCCATATTGATTCCCTCTCGCTCCTTAGGAAGGGCCTTGGTCAGTGTGGTGGCTATTATGAGACAGAAAAGGACGGAAGCAAGTATACAGTCCTACTTCATTCTATTCGTCACCGCGAGTGCTTCCGAGTCTATCCGAACACGCGGACCATTGGCGGTCGGACAGTTTCAATTGTTATGCTCAATTCCCTCACTCTCGCTTTCAGGACTCCCTCACGCAAATTACCGTTGAAATGATGCCAGGACACGTACGTGCACCTACATATTTCACCATTTCGCAAGATTTCATTCATCCCAGAAGTCCCCTTGAACTTCATTTGAGTCAAGTACTGCGTCTGTTAACAGAAGAAAGCAGTTTAGTCGTTCTTTATGTTTACTCAGTATGTCGGCTGGCTTTGTCTTCGGCAGGAACGAAAGGAAATCTGAGCACCCAATCAACCAACAGTTCTAACCCACATTCAAAAAAAGCTAGCTCCAGTGAGGCGGATTTGAACCACTGACCTAAGGCTAATTGCTACACAATTACAGTCCTCCGCTCTGCCAGCTGAGCTATCACCGGGTGAAGACGACAGTGGAGACGACAGAACACAACGGCATTTCCAAATGCCCAAGCAATTGTCTAGTTTGATTTAGTCAACCCTACTAGAGTTGAAGTCGAAACCTTGGAGACACAGACACAGACGGGGTTCTGCTATGCCAAATGAAGTTATGTTCAAGCTATACACATCGCATCCCTCCTTAGACAAACAAATATTATTTTTAAAGACATTATTTTCTGGCAGGAGAAAAGTATGACAGAAAGTGACAGCTGACAGGAGTCAGTTGTGCGAGCAACACAGCTAAGAAGCACGAAATTGTGGTTGCACTATGAAAGCAACACGGCCATGTAGCTCTGTCGAGCTTTGTGCCAGACCGGTTGGCTGGTCGAGTTAGTACCACCTCTGACATTTTCGACGTTTGTTCCCTGCCTTCTGCCCTTGGTTGACTGCTTGTCAGACCATGGCTGTTTGTGCGTCGTCATGGTAGTATAGAAGCACAGGTTGTTGTTTATAGATGGGAATGTGAGTTGTGAGTAACGAGAGAACAGGGTTCTAGAGGGGCAGGGCTGCCCGCCACCCACTGCACTGTCGCCCTCGTTACTCTACTAACTCGACGGATGCTACTCCCAGCTGTGATCTGATGGATTTGCAGGTATCCAGCGGGATTGTTACCCCAATGGAATGCTACTCTTTGCCTACACGACGTTCTGTCTTCATCTGAGTTCTGGCGATGGCCGCGTTGTCATGCGTTCGGAAGTGTCCAACTAGATTTAACGCACCCGGAAGACGAGGTCGCTGTGAGATCATTCGTGGTGTGTTTATTTTGCTTAAGGGATGTGGCGTAGTGAGGTGTGGTGGGGGATGTGGAATTGGATAGACGAATTGGCTTTGTGGTTGGGGTCCCAAATGATGAATTGGAGCATTGCTCGAGCGTTGCCATTTGGGCAATAAATTAACATTGGTCATAGTGCGGTGATGTTGCTCCGCGTGGTTTCTATTTTTTGGCTTTTGCTCCGTGTTGCCCTCCTACACTCGGTCCCCCACGAAAGATTTTGATCCACTTTTTTAATCGAAAATTGCCATGCCTGGACTCCTGGCTGACTTCGATGAATATGGTGATACTTCAACACATACTTTGGACTTAGTCTGTGTTAATTCCAACTACGAGTACCGATGGCGACGACTGCATGACAGAGTCTGTTTGGCAGACGCTAATCGTGTATTCTCACGACGTGGTCACACTGAAAGAGTGTGATCTCTATCAGCATTGCAATCATACTGATTATTGCACTTCTTGTCTTCCTCTCGGTCCTGATAAGGACCGATTTGTCACGATAATTTTGGTTGGGCTTTGGAAGCTACGACTGGTAGTGCGTCGGAGCAGGCCTAAGTGACTCGGGTATATTGAATTATGAAGTGTGCATTTTTGCCATGAGGATGGATTATCCCCTGCTGACTTCATTTTGAATTTATTCTCTAATGCGTCAGTGGTCTGTCCGGCAACCAAGCGGCCAACCGGTGATGCCGGGTGCGTTAAGTGACTGACGGGGTCGAGCAGCCTGTCTACCCGAGGAACAGTAGCGACTATGGCGGTTAACTGAGACACACTGTGAAAACTCTTGTTAGTTTAAAGGCAGAGTAGATACAGATCTTTATACCGTGTTGCTGGATCGACTGAAAATATTTTCAAAATTGTTCTGGTGCACTCTGAAGGCTTTTTACTGTGTTATTTTCGCGTTGTCCCTAGGTGGAGGAAGCTGAGATATAAAACCGCATTAATGTGACAGATATAAGTGTGCTGACGGTTGAAGATCGCCTCGAAGAAGGTGAACTCACTCGTGCAGTATTAATTATAGAAGCAAGTAGTCATTCGATCTTTCTTTTCTGACAGAAGTCACACATTTTCCCCGAAGCAAGGCTTTGCATAGCGACCACACCCCGGTGACAGTCTTGACCAAATGGAGCTACACAAGTTATATTTACCTCATTATTAACTAAAATACAACTAATGAAAACAGTATATTTGGAAGGAAAATATATAGAATGTAGATTGGAAGTCCAAAGAGCAAATGTAAATGTCAGCGTGATTTGCCTTACGCAGAAATTAAAAAAAATTTTGGAACCAAATGACATATCTTCTCTTACTATCACGTTTGAAGAAGACATGGTTTGTCGACAAAGGAGTGCAAAATGACTGCTTTCATTAATTGTGTTTTAGTTGATAAGGAGGTAAGGATGGGCTGTGTCACTCCACTGGGTGTAATATGCGCAAACTACCACCATATTTGTTTTAGTAGGACTTAGTTGGTCTAGTAATGCGAGCTGCAGGGAGTCTCCCTTTGAGTGTGCGCCGTGACATATTTGCATCTTGTAGAATATTTGCCTGTGTGTTGTCAGGTCAGTCACTTGCGAATCCATCGCACAGAGACTGGCGAACCAGTGCCTGGAGCACCAACCTACACCCACCGCACCCGCCTACACTGCCCACACTGCCCTCGCACCTTCAGGCATCGCATGGGTCTATTCGGCCACATGCGCATCCACGACGAACTGCGGTAGACAACCGCCGGCTACACCACGCCACAACACCCTCCCGCCCTGCCTCCTCCACACATCAACACTCTACCCACCGCAAGCACCCAACTGCCACCTCCCACGCAAGTGGGAAGTGTGCATCTCGACTCTGCCCCCATACAGCTCCGGCTGCACGGGTGACTTAAGTCTGAGAATATACCGACACGTCAAGTGTCGTGGATAGGAAGGTTGCTGATTGACGCCCGTTCTCGGTTCATGCAGTACGTCACGTTGTGTGTGTGTTGTGTGGAGTGGTGGACTGGTGGGCTGGGGACGGGTCGCAACAGCAACTTCCACGGCACCCTCACGCAAGTGAGAGACACGCCGTTCAACGCCCGTTGTGTGAAATCCTGGTGTTTGTGTGTATGGGGGGGCCAGGTCGTGCAAGTGGCGCACGCAGGCATGGTCAGTCGACCGTGCCAGCCACCGCGCCCATTCCCCACTCCAGTCTGCTGACCGGCTCGGACAGTGGCTGGGGTGTGGGAGTGGGAAGGGTGAGTGAGGTCGACAATTCAGCGCACTTTCTGTTCACTATAAACAATCTGACGCGCCTAAAGCTATCACAGTGCGCTAAAAGCCGTAGCTTGGAAGGTTGCCAATGGACGGGGTAAATTGGACCTCGTCCTTCACTGGAGGCGGTCTGAGAGTCAGGCTGCAATGGTTCTTTTCTAATGTGGCTTTTACGGCACTCCCACCACAGTGTGGGATCCGAGACAGGCGTCGGCGGCACTTCCAGTTGCTGATATTTACAGTTGCCCATTGGACTTCCAATCTACGTGCTGTATATTTTCCGTGTTAGGATAGTCTTGCATTTGCCACCGTTATCAAAATATGTCATAGAAGGCCCCTTGTACTTTGCATTGAATGTAGACATGATTGCATACTTCATCTTCATTATTAAAATGTACAGATGGTATGCCGTATGATATGGCACTTCAAGGCCATTAATGCAGTTTTCTTCTAAACCTAATTGTGGGCAATATTCAAGTGGAAAATTTGAAGATTACGTACTTTACTGCCAAGTGAGTACCAGAAATATGCTTTCGGGCGTAATCTCTACAAAATATATTCGAGGTTATGAGGGCAACAAGTGAAGTTTTAGCAGGCGAGTGGAAGGAGGTTCATTTAAAGGCCGGCATCATGTCGTGACTGAAATATCTTGGGATTATGCTTCACGATAATCACTGTCATGACTCCAAAACAGAAATTATTTTTAATTTTAAATACATTTCAGAATTTCCTGAAAAGACTCAATTACTATTGTGGCAGTAGCGATATAACAAATACTGCTTTTGGTCGTCTCAGTAGTGCCGTGCTAGTAGCAGGCGTATTGGGAGTAGTAACAATGGCAGTCGAAGTACTGGCTGTAGCATTAGTAGTAGTAGTAGTAGCAGTAGTAGTAGTAGTATTAGTAGTAGTAGTTGTAGTAGTTGAAATAGCAGTAAAAGAGGCAATTTTAGTGAAGTGGTGGCACTACTCCAAATCGTAATTGTAATATAATTAGGAGTACTAGTTACAGCTATCGACGTTGGATCAGGCAGTTTGTGGAATTTGTTCCCCAGTGCTGCATCGCGTGTCGCTGTCTGCTCGCGGGCTCGTTCAGTCACTTTCTGCTGAAGCAGATTTGTGTCGTTCTCGCCCATGAACTCGCAGCATCTGGCCTTTTTCTTGGTCAATTCTCTGACGGTATTTGCGTAGTCTCGCATGGCAATCTTGAAGGAGCACGCGGATCATACGTCTTCCGTGCTGAAATACTGCGTGTCTCGCTAGCTCCGTGTTTACCGGAGGTTTGTATGAAACACACTTCGGCAACACGTTGTTATCGAGACACCTGTGCAGAAACCAGATCTGCGCGTAAGTAGAGGCCTCTCGAAGGGCGAAAGTTTCCCATCGTCGGGCCGATCGGAGCGCGTCGCGCCCAAACAAATTGCCGATACAAGCGAAAATGCGAGTTCCAGGAACTAGTTGATCAGAAGAAGAAGCAATCGCTGGAACAATGGCTTTATTCGCCTGACGTTTCGGATTCTCTCTTGAATCCATCATCAGAGACAGTTGCAGAAAAGGGTGGCTAGTGTACAGGCAGCCGCAGTATTTATAGGATGCGGTCGCCATGCTACCGCATACCTACAGCAATTAACCGTGCTCCTTTCATCAAGGATTGTTGCCCGCTGGTGCGCTACTTGCTTGATGGCCGGCATGCAAGTTGTTAATTGCTGACATCTCATCACCCGTGTTGGATGCTGGCGTGATGATTGCTCGGCCATCTGGCTCACGTGCTTGCGCGCTCCTCGAGTGGTCAATTGCTTTGACCAGTCTATGTCTCAGGACAGAATATGGAGTGGGGATGTCGTTGCACTTGTTGATAGACTGAGGTCCCGTGAACCATGACTCAAGCAACTCGCGGCTCACGCGATTATCCCCTCTCGCGAGAATTTCGGCCTAATCGAACTTGAATGTGTGGCCGCGTCTCGTCGAATGGGCCGCGACCTGAGAGTTGGCGTCATTTCTCCGTGCAGCTGCCACGTGTTCGGCAATTAGCGTCCGGAGCAGTCTTCCAGTTTCTCCGACGTAGTTGCTTTGTCCGAAACTGCACCAGATCCAGGTGGACATCGCCGCACTCAGCGAGACTCGATTCTCCGAAAAAGGCCACCTGGAAGAGGTGGGTGCCGGCTACACCTTGTTCTGGAGTGGTCGACCCAGGGCAGAGCGACGAGACGCGGGCGTCGCCTTTACCATCCGGAACGATATCGTGGGACGACTGCCCTGTTTGCCGCAGGGAATCAACGATCGCCTGATGAGCCTCCGCCTGCCTCTCCGGCGAGGAGGCAAGTTCGCCACCATCATCAGCTCCGACGCCGCCGCAAGAGACAAATTCTACGAGGATCTGCACGCCCTCTTGGCGACTGTGTCGAAGGCGGACAAGTTGATTGTCCTTGGCGACTTCAGCGCCCGCGTCGGCACAGACCATACTGCCTGGAGAGGAGTGCTGGGTCCCCACGGTCTCCTCAGCTCCAACGACAACGGACTGCTGCTTCTCCGCACCTGCTCAGAACACCGCTTCATCCTGACGAACACGTTCTTCTGTCTACCGCAGCGAGAGAAGGCCACCTGGAGGCATCCTCGGACGCGTCAGTGGCACCTGCTGGACTATGTCCTCCTCCGAAGGCGTGACCAGCGGGACGTGCTGGTGACGAAGGCGATCGCGGGTGCTGACGGGTGGACCGACCATCGTCTCATCGTCTCGAAGATGCGTATTCGCTTACAGCCTCGCAGGAGACCACAAGGTAAGCGACCCCCAGGTAAGCTGAATGTTGCTTTGTTGTCGTTGCCCGCTCACCATCTTCATTTCAGCAATGAGCTAGATCAACGGCTAGACAACCTCCCCATCGCCGATGCCGCCGCTGCCGAGAACGCCTCCGTGGAGAACCGCTGGTGTCAACTGCGAGACACGGTCCAGTCGACGGCGCTGGCCGTCCTCGGTCGCGCACGCCGCCAACACCAGGACTGGTTCGACGACAACGACGCCGACATCAGAAATCTGCTTGCTGAGAAGAACCGCCTACACAAAGCCGACGTAGATCACCCCACTGATGCCACCAAAGCTGCCTTCTACCGCAGTCGCCGCCAACTTCAGCAACAAATGCGCGAGATGCAGGACGCCTGGACTGCTCGCAAAGCTGAGGAGATCCAAGGCTACGCGGACCGCAACGAATGGAAGAATTTGTTCTCTGCGATCAAATCTGTCTACGGTTCGCCGACGAAGGGCACTGCTCCTCTCCTCAGCGCCGACGGCAGTACTCTCCTGACTGAGAAGACGCAAATCCTACAGCGATGGGCCGAGCATTTCGGAGGCGTCCTCAACCGCCCCTCCGTCATCTCCGACGCCGCCATCGCCCGCTTGCCGCAATTGGAGACCAATGTGGACCTCGACCTCCCGCCATCTCTCCAGGAGCCCATCAGAGCCGTGCAGCAACTCTCCAGCGGGAAAGCACCCGGATCGGACGCAATCCCTGCTGAGGTCTACAAGCACGGAGGTCCCCAACTCATGGATCACCTGACTGCGCTCTTCCAAGAGATGTGGCGTGAAGGTGAAGTCCCGCTAGATTTCAAAGACGCAACCATCGTGCATCTCTACAAGCGCTAAGGGAATCGCCAAGTCTGCGACAATCACCGCGGCATCTCCTTGCTTAACATCGCCGGGAAGATCTTCGCTCGAATCCGCCTCAACCGTCTCAATAACCATCTTGAACAGGGCCTTCTGCCGGAAAGTCAATGCGGCTTCCGTCGTCATCGTGGGACCACGGATATGATCTTCGCCACCCGTCAACTTCAGGAGATGTGTCAGGAGATGCGGACCCATCTGTACGCTACCCTCGTGGACCTGACGAAATCCTTCGACACGGTGAGTCGTGAAGGATTGTGGAAGATCATGCAGAAATTCGGCTGTCCGGAGCGATTCACTCAGATGATGCGTCAGCTGTACGACGGTATGATGGTGCAAGTCACGGACAACGGGGCTGTCTCAGGTGCATTCGCAATGACCAACGGAGTGAAGCAGGGATACGTGCTGGCACCAACCCTCTTCAGTCTTATGTTCTCTGCCATGCTGATGGACGCCTACCGCGACGAACGCCCTGGAATCCGCATCGCCTACAGAACGGACGGTCATCTGCTGAATCAACGGCGGATGCAATTCCAATCGCGTGCATCCACAACCACCGTCCACGAACTTCTCTTCGCCGACGACTGAGCCCTGAACACCACCTCCAAACCGGAGATGCAACGCAGCATCGACCTGTTCTCCGCCGCCTGCGAGAACTTCGGTCTGGTCATTAAAACGCAGAAGACGGTGATGATGCACCAACCTCCACCCAACTCAGCCACAGGCCACAACGAGCCGCCGGAAATCAGCGTGAATGGGACCCAACTGCAAGTGGTAGAGAACTTCCCGTACCTGGGCAATACCCTATCTCGCAACTCAAAGATCGATGACGAAGTCGCCAACAGGATCTCGAAAGCCAGTCAAGCCTTCGGTCGCCTCCAAAGCACAGTTTGTAATCGCCATGGTCTTCAACTGAGCACGAAGATGGAGGTGTACAAGGCCGTCATCCTGCCGACGCTACTATATGGAGCGGAGACTTGGACGGTGTACACGAGGCAGGCACGTCGACTGAACCACTTCCACCTCAGTTGTCTTCGTCGCATCCTGAGGCTGCACTGGCAGGACCGCATCCCCGACACCGATGTGCTGGAAAGAACGGGAATCCTGAGCATCTTCTCCATGTTGAGACAAATACAGCTGCGCTGGAGTGGCCACCTGGTGCGCATGGACGACGAGCGACTACCCAAACGACTCTTCTACGGAGATGTCGCGACGGGTTCTCGACGTCAAGGAGGCCAAATTCGCCGTTACAAGGATATTCTGAAGTCCTCCCTGAAGCGTCTGCAAATCATCCCGACCAACTGGGAGGAGCTCGCACTCGATCGACCGACCTGGAGGAGGACAGTGAAGACAGGCGCTGCGATCTACGAAGCCAACCGCATCGCTGCCGCCAAAGCGAAACCGAAAGCCCGCAAATCACAAATTCGTCCAGTACGCAACTCTGCCGCACAAACGCTTCCCACGCGTCCTCGATGTCAACGGACATTCCGGGCACGAATCGGAGTTGTTGGACATCTTCGGATCAACTGTGCCTCTCCAAATGCACCAACGATCGTCCCCCCGCCCGATTCTTCCTCCACCTCTATGCCGCCGACAAACTCTGACAGTTCTTCTTCAGCACCACCACTTCCATCATCATCATCATCATCATCATCATCATCATCATCATCATCATCATCATCATCATCATCATCATCATCATCATCATCATCATCATCATCATCATCATCATCATCATCATCATCATCATCATCATCATCATCATCATCACCACCACCACCATCATCATCATCATCATCATCATCATCATCATCGTCGTCGTCGTCGTCATCATCATCATCATCGTCGTCGTCGTCGTCATCATCATCATCATCGTCATCATCGTCGTCATCATCATCGTCGTCATCATCATCGTCATCATCGCCGTCATCATCATCGTCGTCGTCGTCGTCATCATCATCATCATCGTCCTCCTCCTCCTCCTCCTCCTCCTCCTCCTCCTTGTCCACTGCTCCAACGACGGTTGCTCAGGCGACTGTCACGCGCGCAACATCTGACGCCACCACCACGACCTCCCCCGACTCCAGCGATGAGGATCAGGACTACACCTGCCCTCACTGCGACCGCACCTTCACCTGACACATCGGCCTGGTCGGTCACTTGCGAATCCATTGCACAGAGACTGGCGAACCAGTGCCTGGAGCACCAACCTATACCCACCACGCTCGACTCAACTGTCCACACTGTCCTCGCACCTTCAGGCATCGCATGGGCCTATTCGGCCACATGCGCATCCACGAGATCGGAATTGACCTCAACACCGCAACACCGACACGCCCACGACACCCAGCACATTCAACACGCCCAGTCACACACTCGCCGCATCGCCCTGCGCGCCCCCCACCACCACCACCACCACCACCACCGCCACCACCACCATCGCCTCCTCTGTAGCTGACACTGACACCGCCGACTTCACCTGCCCACACTGTTCACGCATATTCACCTCACGCATCGGCCTAGTCGGTCACTTGCGAATCCATCGCACAGCGACTGGCGACCCAGTGCCTCGAGCACCAATCTATACCGACCAAGGTCGTCTCAACTGCCCACAATGCCCTCGCACTTTCAGGCACCGCATGAGCCGATTCGGCCACATGCGCATCCACGACGCCTTTCGGTAGACAACCAGCGGCCACACCACACATTCACTCACTCCCTACCTCCCACCAACACCACCACCACCACCACCACCACCACCATCAGCCCACCAGACATCAACACTCACACACCTCATGCACCCAACTGCCACCTCCCACGCAAGTGGGAAGTGTGCATCTCGACTCGGTCCCCATGCGGCTCCGTCTGCACGGGTGACTTGAGTCTGAGACTATCCCGACACGTCAAGCGTCGTGGATAGGAAGGTTGCTGATTGACGCCTCCACTCGGTTCACGCAGTACGTCGCGTTGTGTGTGTGCTGTGTGGACACGCCGTTCAACGCCCGTTGTGTGAAATCCTGGTGTTTGTGTGTATGGGGGCCAGGTCGTGCTCGTGGCGCGCGCAGTCATGGTCAGTTGACCATGAGAGCCACCGCGCCCATTTCCCACTCCAGTCTGCTGACCGGCTCGGACAGTGGCTGGGGTGTGGGAATGGGAAGGGAGAGTGAGGTCGACAATCCAGCGCACTTTCTGTTCACTATAAACAATCTGACGCGCCTAAGGCTATCACGGTGCGCTAAAAGCCGTGGCTTGGATGATTACCAATTGACAGGGTAACTTGGACAGTGGTTTCGATAGTTTTCCAGCAAGGTACTTTAACAATTTTGGCAGTATGTCATCCGGCCCAGGTGATTTAGCCCCATTCAGCGCCAACAGTTCACTGAGAACAGTAGCTGCGATGCAACAGTCAGCCTCAATCGCTCGTCCTTCCACTATGTCGTAGTCGGGAGGAATAAATGCGCTTTCGTTCATAAAGATGGACTGAAAACATTGTAAAGGTTGTCCTGCCATTTCTCCATCGTCAATGAGCTCTGGCTCTTCACTAGCTTTCAATAATGGGATTGGGTCTCTGTTTTGCGTGCTCATGCTTATATAACCATGGTCTTTCTCGAGTGTACGCCGCGTCCCGACGATTAGTCGCTTAACTAGGTGACTGTGTGCCTTGTATACATTTATCCACACAGAGCTCCTCTCCATTTGGAATTTCCTCCATAAGTTCAGCTTTTTATTGACTTCTTTTCTTAGCTTGTGTTAGTCACGAAGGTCTGTTGCTCAATTTCCTCCGGCAAATAGGAGAGTGGTCTCTGGGAAGAACCTGCAATAACTCACTAAAGCAGTTCCAATCCTTGATCATGCCACCGGAATGAGCTGATTCCCAGTTTATGGTGTTTAGTTCAGCTTCCGTTTGGGCATAGTCGCCGCGCCAAATGTTCCTTCTAACTTTCGTGTCCTGTTCGGGCAGAGAAGAATGGAGTGCTGGCACAACAGTACTACGTGGTCGCTTCGACCTAGGGGAAATAGACACTGCACCTCGCCAATTCTGTCTAGCGACATCGTAAGGACCAGATCCAAATAGTTTGACCGTTGACCTTCGCTCACTCTCGTCAGAAATGAGACGTACTGAGTGAGGAATAACCTGAGCCTCATGCCCAGCAAACGCCATTTGAAAGTATGGTCTGGACCAGATGCCTAAGCTGAACTCCGGTCAACATGAGGTGCATTGAAGTCTCCCGTGATTAAGACCTCGGACCGAATAGAGAACCTCTCCAGGTCCCCAATCGGATGGGCGTAGTTCGTGGGGTGAGTTCTCGGCGGTCGGTGGACTGTCAGGACGTCGAGGCTTGGTGAACCCGGGGCTTTTATAGATAGCTAAATTGCCTCGGAGGTACACGCAAATTTATCTGTTTTGTCTGAGCTAATAAGCCCATGTTTTGCATACGTGACTACGCCTCCGCCCTGACGTCCTTTCCTGTCTCTTCTAAACCACTGGCATACTGGTATTGTTAACTCACGACTGTTAATTCAACCAGGTTTCTGCAAGTGAGATTACATCCGGGGATAGATCAGATAGATGGATCTTTAACTCGTCTAGGACTTTCGATAACATGCTGTGCACATTTGTATATAGGAATTTCAGCTTGCGATTTATGGTCGTCGGAGTTGTGGTCTCGATACGTCTAGGACTTTCGTCTACTATGTCAGCTGCGCGATCATCCGGATTGGGTCCGTCCAAAGAAAGAATGGTGGGTGTCGTCCGATTTGTTTGTTGTAGATAACCAAATTCCGCTCTCCTTCGCTGAGTCCCTTCCGCCACTCTAGAACTAGAAGACGACGTTTCAGCCTCTCTGCCGGCGAGTAATCAGGTTGAAGAAAAAAGACCGGGGCTTGGTGCCTTTTATTCTAAAGCGCCGAGTGAGAATCGACTCGGCTTGTTCCACACAGGCCAGCAAAACTTTGAATGGTCGAGGGCGTTTTGGTGCTGCCTAATCTTTTGCCCATTTTCCGAGACGGAATGCTTTGTGCGCTACAATTGCCTCAGTGGGTTTCATGATATTGCTGAGCAAGTCTTGGAAAAGCGTTAGATCTTCTGAGACCCCCTGTGTAGGAGTGTTGGCGTTTGATTCGGGGAGCCCCTGAATGACGAGACATTGGTCTCTGGCGATATCGTTCGTATTTTTTGTTGATGTGTCGCCCTCTGTGGGTGTGGTACGCTAAATGTACTAGACGGCGATGGCGGAACACATTTTCTAGCGCGGCTTTGATGCTCGGCGCCTGTTTTGACAGACTTAGAAGAAGTCGTTGGCACGGACGGTAGTAAATGATGGTCTGTAGTTTTAACAATTGCCTCAATACCACTACTCGTGCTGGGCCCATCCAATCCATGAGTTTTCTGCGCGTTGCTAACTGTTTTTGAACTGTGGGCATTAACCGTTGTAGATGGAACTGTTGTCGAGGTTTCTGCTTCGGGTGCCGTGGAGATATCACTTAGAAGCGGCTATTCATTTTCGGTGGATATTTTACCAACAGATTTCTTCTTTCCTAAGGTTTTCTGATTTCCTCTTTGACTGCTGTCAATTTTTTTTCACAATTCGTTCCTGCGCAGTCGTATCTGTTACAGAACGTATTTCTGAAGAGTCTTTTAAGTGAGGTTTGTTTGCTTTACTCCTAGTTATTTTTCTAGTGTGGACATTCGTATCGTCAGGTGTGCCTAAATCATATTGTAGAAGAGCCATTATATATTCGATTTCTTTCCCGAGACGGTTGACCCTGGGGGCTAACAGCTGGCATCCACCACAAATCCTATTTACGTGTTGCTCGCCCATTCAATACATATACATTTGTGAGAGTGGTCCCAGCCACGTTGAGGTGGCCGGGTGTTCTGGGCCACCGAACGACTGCGAGTGTCGCGAGATCGACCACCGCCTTGTCATCTCCTACATGAGGCCTCATCTGCAACCCCATAGGAGTCCACAAGGTAAGCGACCACAAGGTATGTTGAGTACTGCTTTATTGTTTCTGCCGACTCGCAGTTCACAATTGAGGAATCAACTGACCCAGCTACTAGAAAACCTGCCAACTGCAGACGAAAACGCCTCCGTGGAGAGTGGATGGTGCAACTGCGAGACGCCGTCCATTCGACCGTCCTGGCTGTTCTGGGCGGCACACGTCGCCAACACGAAGACCGGTTCGACGACAACGACGTAATCCTGAACAACCTGCTCGCCGAGGAGAACAACCTGCTCGCCTACGTCAACGGTCCAAACGATGCAGACAGATCGGCCTTCCACCATTGTTGTCGCCTTGCTCAGCAATCGGTGCGAGAAATACAGGACGCCTGGTGGACTCACAAGGCCAAGAAGATGCAGGAGTATGACGAGTGCAATGAATCAAACAAATTGATAACTGCGATCGAGTGGATCTACGGGCCTTCAACCAACGGAAATGCTCCGCTCCTCAGCTCCCAAGGATCAACGCTTCTGCCGGAGAATTCGCAGATTCTGAAACGCTGGGCAGAGCACTTCAGAAGCGTCCTCAACTATCCCTCCAGCATCTCCGACGCCGCCACCGACCGTCGATCTGGATTTCCTGCCCTGCCTGTCAGAAACCATCACCAGTGACCAATGGAGTGAAGCAGGGCTCCATACTCGCTCCAACCCCTCTTCAGGCTCATCTTCGCTGTCATGCTGATGGACATCTACCGCGATGATCGCTCTGGGATATGCATCGCCTACGGAACTGATGGGCATATTCTCAACAGCAGGCGCATGCAAGCACCCATCCCAGCTATCTGAAACCGCAGTGCATGATCTGCTCTTCGCCGATGACTGCGCTAACAACAACCCGACCGAGGTGGACATATAACGCAGCATGGACCTTCTCGCCGCCGGGTGCGCCAACTTCGGCCTGACTATGAACACGAAAAAACGGTGGTCATGCACCAACCGTCACCCAACACGCAATACTGCACTCCTCATTGAATCACTATCGACGGCCACCAATCCAAAACCGTGAATATCTTTCCTTACCTCGGAAACACACTTCCCAACAGCACCAGAATCGACAATGAGGTTGCCCACCGGATCTCCAAAGCCGGCCATCTCTTTGGCCGACTGCAAATCTCCGTGTGGAATCGTCAGGGCACGCAAATGAATACCAGACTGAAGTTGTACAAGGCCGCCGTCCTTATGACACTCCTCTACGGAGCGGAGACTTGGACCCTCTGCTCCAGCCATGCCAGGAAGCTCAACCACTTCCATCTCAGCTACCTTCGCATAATAGTAAAGCTGAGATGACAAGACAGGATCCCGACACAGACGTCCTTGAACGGACCGGAATCTACAACATTCAGAACATGTTGGGGCAACTGAAAATGCGACGGAGCGGCCATCTAGTGAGAATGGACGGCGCTCGCCAACCAACAAAACTCAGCTACGGAGAGGTAACGGCGGGTGCTTGCCGACCGAAAGGTGCTAAATACTGCTGCAAGGGTACTTTGAGCAATTTTCTGAAGCGATTGCAGATCAACCCAGATATCTGGGTGAACTGCTCCCAGAACAGCCCGGCCTGGAGAAGAGAAGTGAAGATTGACCCAGACGCCTACGAAAAAAATCGGATGGCCGCCCCCAGAGCCAAAAGACAGGCTTGCAAGTCACAAGTGCCTCGACTCCTCAATGCCAACAGTCAGCCACTTCCAATATGCCCGCTCTACCAACGCACATGCAGTGCACCATTCGGCATTGTATGACATCTTCTAACCCAATGCGCTATCGACCCAACAACATCTACCTCTTTCTCCTCTCTCGCTGCTGCCGTAAACCCCACTACGAAGACCACCTCTGTCCCCGTCGATCACACTGTCGCCGCCCCGCCGTCATCAATCACCGACATCCTGCACCCTGCTCCAACCCATGCGTCGACCACAGCAACCAGCTCCGCCAACACCACGACGTCCCACACTTCCCCCAACGATGGGGCGACGTCTGACGCCCCATCACCTGTTACCATCACCACCAGCACTCCCAACTCCAGCGATGTGGACTCCGTTCAGCCACGTCCTCATTGCGATCGCGTATCCACTTCACACATTGACCTGGTCGGTCACTTGCAAATCCGTCGCTCGGAGGCTGGCGAACCAGTGCCTGGAGCACTCACATACTCTCGCCGCATCTGCCTCAATTGTCCTCACTACATTCGCGCATTCAGTCAAATCATGGACCTATCCGATCATATGCGTATCCACGAAAACCTGCGGTAGATTATCGCCGGCTACACCACACCATCGTACTTTCCCCCACCGGCATATATGCTTTCTAACAGCATCCTCACAGGGTTCAGGTTGGGGAGGTAGAGGTGGTGAAGTGGATGCTGCGCAAGTGCAAACTCATTATAAACTAGTTTACGTGCAATTCACCGTGGTGTGGGGCACACGGTGGACCTCGTCTGATGCGACTGTCGAACTGTCAGACGGAAGAGGAGTATTAGCAGTGGTGATGGTAGAAGTAGTAGCAGCAGTAGTAATATTAGTAGTAATAGTAGTAGTAGTACTAGTGGAAGCGACAGTTGCGGAATTAGCCTTAACAGTAGTATCACTACTAGTAGTAGTAGCAGTATGTGCGACGGAAATACTTGAATTTTTAATAGTTGCTTATGAGTTATCGCTATAGTCGCTCAATTAATAGAATGTTGAGGTCTCTTTTACCATTTGGGCCACTCGATTTGGCCGTCCTGATGTGCATTGGGGCCCAGCAGTCGTCCAATAACCATAAATACAATCGAGGTCAAGGGAGACGGTAATGGCTACTGCTGGTTTATTAACCGCCGTCAGCCAACATTACCCAGCACCAGGAATGCAGAACCCAAAACTCCAACACACGTTATTCGATCATCGAACGTGATCAAGTCCAACACACCGTCCACTGAGCCACGGACAGGTGGCCTGTCAGTTGCAATCGGGAATATAAGCTTGTGTTAGAAGCACGTCCGCCGAACAGATTAAGGTTTTACTTTTCCATTTGCAATTTCGGACTCACGTTAGACCTTGTCGTTGTTGTGGTTCCTGTAGTTATTTTTTGTTATTATTATCACTATTCAGAGGTATTTTAGTAGATGTCAAATAAATAACTTTGAACCATGTGTGAAATACTCGGTACCTCGGCGTGATTCGAATAAAACGGCAGCAAGGTGAGGATTTAGTACAGCCAACGCTCTAAATACCTGTTATTGTTGTTGTCGCTGTGTCACTACTATTACCCGGCCACAATGTCCACACAGGCATTACGCCCTCTCAAACGAATGCCTTAAAGAAAGAGATGCTGTGGTTAGACCTGACAGAATTTTCTCCACAGGTCAGCTTTTTACGTCGTCAGAAAGAACCCCTGAACTGTCCATTAATAGGACATGCCATGACCTCTTCGAGACGCTATGAAGGTCATCTTCCGCCATGACAAGTGTCTAGACTACCGTCAGTTGCGTTGCCCTCCACTCCCCGACCCAACACCGAAGGACACAGACTAAAGATCTTGAAAGAAGACATTGACAAGAAATATAGGCGAAGAATGTTTATTGGGGAACAATTAAAGAAGAAATCAAAATCGACGAGAATGTTTATTGGGGAACAATTAAAGAAGAAATCAAAATCGACGTGCGCTTAATTAAGTGGCAATTTCCAGATTAAAGTCATAAATCACTATGTACACATTTCGGATGTAGAGAATCACAAAAAGGAAATCATATATGATAGGCAGATGTGCAAAGGAATGGATGGTAGAGTTCAATCAACCTGAACAATAAATAAATCGAACTATGTACATGAGCCCAACAAAACAGTGCAGCCACTAGGGGAGATAATGGGGCTGGAGAGGGTGGGGGAAATAAAACGGGTGAGGGGACGATGAGAGGTGGGAGATGCGGGGTAATTAGTCTCCGTGAGTCCGAGTTGAGCAGCAGAAGACTCTCCGGAGTGTCCTCAACACCCTGCCTCCAAACCGGATTCTGGGCTACAAGGAAAGTGAGAGAGAGAGAGTCAGGCGAGCAGAGCGTATCAAACTAACGCGCACAAGTGACTGTTGGGATATGACATACCCTCCGATCCCCCTGTGGGTTACTTCGGGACAGCTTTTCAAACCCGTTCGGCAGGCCTACAACTGAAGGTGGATAGGAACATTAGGTGGATCGAAGGGTTATCAGTGCAGAAATAAGCTGACCAACCAACAGAGATTTGGTCAGAAATAGACATTTCTTTAATGTGATCTTACCTTCTCCCTGATCACTGCAACCCCCAGCTGCCGTCACCACATCTGCACATTGAGATGCCTGGGAAACCCCATTCTCGCTAAGATATCTGTGATAATCACCTGAGGCGTCACACTCGGAGGCGTCGACTTGCGAATGGCCAAGCGAATCCTGGACAGAAGGAGTAGCCTGGACCGCGGCATCCCTTTTGGGCCTGGATGACCAAGGCAAGTCATAAATGGATGAACTTATGTCTTGCGACGTATCATCCGATCGCCTGGTGTGCTGGTGCCGCCAATGAAACACCATCAGTACTCCCAAAGAACGTAAGGGTGGATGAAGATGCAGCGAGCAGGTCTGCTGATGTGCCATTGTTGGCCGTCTTCGTGGCACCCGCCTGCGGGGCATGTCCAGATGTGGGCTTGGAATATGGCGAAGGTGGTGCGTACAACGAGTGGGAGATGACGACCGGGAGTACCTGCCCTCTCCCTCCTCCTCCTCCTCCTCCTCCTCCTCCTCCTCCTCGTCCTTCTCGTCGTCTCCATCGTCACCATCGCTAACGGCAGTGGCATTGGTGGTGACATTAAGGGTTCTTCTTCTGCTGCTGCTGCTGATGCCGCTGATGCTGCTGAAGCTGAGGCTACTTGTGTTTGAAATGACGCTGGCGGTAGCGATTCTGTCCTCTCGGCTAATCTCTTCGCGTTTGCTGCTGCTGCTGCTGTTACTACCACTGCTGCTGATGCCGCTGATGCTGCTGAAACTGAGGCTACTTGTGTTTGAAATGACACTGGCGGTAGCAATTCTATCGTGTCTGCTCGTCTCTTCGCGTTTGCTGCTGCTGCTGCTGCTACTGCTGCTCTCAGTGGCGGAAGTGACGATCGTGATGGCTGAGCTGTAAGATCTCGGCAAAGAGGAGACATCTTGGTCAGAGGAGACGGAAACAGCAAGGGAACCGGAACTGTCCACTGCGCTTGAAATGTTCTCGGAGAGGGATTGAGTCGGGGTGGTAATGG